ACATTCTTATGACCTTCCAAGGAAACTATTTATTCTCCTGTGAAAGTGTCCCATACTTTACAAGTTCTATCATAACTACCTGTGATGAATCTACATAGTGGAATCAATACTTGTCCCCGTTCTTATTGAATGCACAATTTGTTAGAGGCAACATATGAGCTTTAAGGGTCTTGAATAACTCAAATGATTGTTCCTTTTTTGATTCGATCTTTTCAATAAGTTCTAAATTAAATGTGTTAATACTGCGAATCAATGCTGCTAATTATGGCTTTCTATTTTCTGAAATGATTGGTTCTTCCATCACAATTTCATCAACTAATTGATCTACATCCGTACTATTGATAAATTGAAATTATTACTCATTGCTTAGATTTAACAAATCTATAGACTTTGTTTCCTATTCTCCATTACTTCGAATGTACTCTAGAATTATGCCAGGAGGATAATATCTCAAGAGAAACCTCTTTAGCTTCATATTTAAATTTAATTATATAAACAAATCCCCATTATCCACATCTATAAATATTATTAATTAAAATGGACGACGTAATTCCAGTTGTGGTTATAGACAATGGATCTGGATACATTAAGGCAGGTATCTCAGGAGATGATGCTCCAAGAGCTACTATTCAAACTGTTTTAGGAAAGTAATGCTTGAATCCTAATATATTTTATCAGACCTAAGCAACCTGGTCAAATGGTTGGTATGGATCAAAAGGACACCTATATTGGAGATGAGGTTAATTCTAAATTAGAGTATTTAAAATATTACTATACTTTAGAGTATTGAATGTAACTTACCCTATTGATCATGGAATTATTACTCGTTGGGATGATATGGAAAAGATTTGGCATCATGCTTATTACAATGGTTTCTAAATTCATTTAAATTAGAATTGAGAGTTGCACCTCAAGATCATCCTGTTTTAATGTCAGAACCACCTCTCAATCCAGCCTTTAACAGAGAAAAAATGATAGAAATAATGTTTGAAAAGTTCAATGTTCCATCATTTTACTTGGCAATTCAGTAGGTTTTAGCATTATGTGCATCTGGTAAAACAACTGGATTAGTTGTGGATTCTGGAGATGCTGTTACATAAACAGTTCCAATTTATGAAGGTTTTGCATTATCACATGCAGTGATGAAGATTCATCTAGCTGGTAGAGATTTAACTGATTACTTAATAAAGTTGATGGCAGAATAAGGCAAAGAATTTTCAAATTAAAAAGAAACTGAAAGAGAAAATGCTAAAGATACTAAAGAAAAAAAAGTATTACAATATGTATATTGAAGTGTTATATTGTTGGAGATTTTGAGGCTGAAATGAAAATCTATTAGGATTCTGGAAAAGAAATAGTCCATAGAATGCCAGATGGAAATGATATCACTTTAGGAAGTCAATTATTCAAATGTCCTGAAGCATTATTTTAGCCAATTAAATTAAGTAAAGAATTTTAAGGAATCCATGAACTTACTTTTTAATCTATCATGAAATGTGATGTTGATATTAAAAAAGTAATGTATTTTCTTTTATTATAAGGATCTATATGGTAATATAGTTTTAGCTGGAGGTAGCACTATGTTTAAAGGAATGAAGGATAGGTTATAAAAAGAAGTCATTGCATTAGCCCCTTCAACAATGAAGATCTATGTATAGGAACCTCCTGAAAGAAAATACTCAGTTTGGATGGGTGGAAGTATTTTGGCTTCCTTAAGTTAATTCCAACCCATGTTTATTACTAAAAATGAGTATCAAGATTATGGTACTGGTTATGTACACAGAAAATGCTTCTGAATTTAATATTTCATTTAAGATTATTTAAAATGTGTATTAAAGATTTTTAATAAATTAAATAGAAGATAGAGTTATTTAATTCATTATTAAGGAGAAAGACATGTTTAATTTAAAAGTAATCTCTCCATTTAATAATGTTAATTGGGTAAAAATGTAGTATAGATTTCTTTTGCTTTTACATGGCATTTCTAAGCTCTTTCTATATTGCCTAATGATTAATAAATCACAGCAATATTATTAAGAATTTAAGCTCGTTATACACAATTATATCTAAGTTAAAAAATAGTAGTACTAAAAACATTATAAAGCTTATAAGAAATATTTAAGAGATTATTAAATATCAGGAACTAATCTATAAGTTAATCCTACTAAATTGTAAACCTCTACAAATTTAATGTGATAGTAGGTTTTATATTTTGTAAACTTCATTTAAATTGCTTTCATTAGAAATTGTAATGCTTATTCATAATTTTTGGCTAAGTAATCACATTCTCCTAAAATAACATAAGCTTCAGCTATTTATTCATCATCATCTTCAAGATATTCCTTTAAAATTGAAATAGCTCCATAAATTAACTTTTTAGCAATTTCAAAATTTTCTAATATATATATTTAATTATATACTTGTCCATGAATTTAATTTAGCAATCCATAATAAAATAGATGAAATTTCTGATTTCCATTGCAACTTTTCATAATGTAAGAGAGCTTCATAAAAAGTCTTTTAAGCAATGACATAAGATTAATTTAGAAAGTATAATTTCCCTAATTCAATTTATATTTTTCCTATTAAATTAGGATCAGAAATTTTAAACATTCTTTTTATTTTTTTTAATGATCTTATTGCATGAGGAAAATCTGCTATTTATTTATAAAATCGTGTTAATAAGCATAATGTCCTTACCATTTGAATTCCATTTGCTATTTATAATTTTTTTGAATCTATGTTTTTTTTCATATATTCTTATAAATCTTCAGTTATTTTTTTAAGTATTTTAATGAACTCAACACAATTTCCAGTATCTTAATTAGTTTCGATATCATCTAATTATTTATCAACCGAATATAGAGTATTATTTAAATCTAGTTTACTTGGGAATGATTCAAATGTTATTTCAGATGATAAATGATGATCTAAGACAACAGGTTTTACAATTTCACATTTCACTTTAGGAGGGCATTAACAATATGAATTAGTCAATCGAATTATTTATTAATTATCACGTTCAGATGATATAATAATTTCATCTAAATCTCTTATAACATCATTTTTATTTGATTTGTGATTTTTAATCAAAGAATTACTCATTGATGAAACTCCAGAACTCTACTTTGAATTATTTTCTAACTAATTTGATCAATATTTTTACTTAATATTATGAGTTTGCTCTTGTTTTTACTTCTACAATCTAACCTTTCATCACACTATCTCGAATCTTGGATAATAACCCATTTAGTTAATGATCTCTTTTTAAAGTGTCCTTATCAATACGATCATAATCTTATTACATAAAATTGATAATATTAATAATAATATAATTTTAAGTTAACATAAGACTTTATATCCAAATGGATGTAAATTAAATTAAAATCAAGTCTTTTAATACTTCTAAATCAGTTTCTCTAAAGTTTCATCATAATTAATTTTTTATCCTCCCAATTTTAAATTAGATATATGACAACTGTAAGTGTTTTAATGATTCAAAATTTCTTTATCTAATCCATCAAATCGTGGACTTAATTTTGGAGAAAGTAAAGGACTTGTATAACGACTAGAGGATTCACCGATTTCAAAAAAATTGAAATTACCATCAAGTCGAGGTGATGAAATCTAACTTCCAGTATTTAAAAGAGTATCTGATAGATGTGAAAGAGAAGGAACGTGATGATGTTTCTTTTGTTATTAGAAATAACGATGATTTAATGCTTCCTTTGCACTAAATCGTTTCTATGGATTTCGATTTAACATCCCTTAAAGAAGATCAAGAGCATCATATGATACTTTTACTTTGCTGTAATCAAGTTTAGACTCTTTATTAAGTTTATATCTATCATCATAATTTTTTGAATAGAAGGGATTTAATCCTGTCAACATTTAATACAGAATTACTCCAAGACTATAGACATCTACCTTCTAATCATAAATTTAATTGCATAAGATTTCTGGTGCACAATATCCTGGAGTTCCACATTTTTTAAATAAGTATTGTCCATCTTCTCTATAAATATCTGCTAATCCAAAATCTATAATAACATATTTTTATGTTTCATTTCTCAATAATATATTATCAGGTTTTAAATCTCTATGTAAAATACCTTACTCATGTATATATTATACTGTCTCAAGTAGATCATTTATAATATTGAAAGCTTGAGACTCTGGGATAGTAACTCCTCTTTCTAAAGTGTCATTTAGATTCTTATTCTATAGGAATTCAAAAACCAAAAAAACGAATTATTCACTTTCATAAACTTCATGAAGTTTAATGACACCTCTATGATCTAAGGTTCTCAAAATTCCAATTTCTTTAATCAAGCCTTCTTAATCATCAAGAGAATTTAGTAGTTGTTTTTCAAAAGTCTTCACAGCATATATATTTTGATTAATTTTATTTTTTACACGATAGACCTACAAAATATTCAGTCAAACATACTTTGCCATAAGTTCCAGCTCCTACTAATTTTTGAACTTAGTATTTTTGTGTAAAATTAGTTTAAATACAATAGAGACTTAATTGTTCAAACCACTTCTCTATTGAACCATAAAACTCTATTGAAAATTCAAAAGATTATATCCTGATACCTTATCCCAAAATTTTATTGTCTACTTTTGTAATCATGTAGTTTGAAACATCCAATTGTTCTTTCTAGTTTTTAATAATCTGTATATATTACATCATTTAAACATAGAAATTATTTAGATAATTTAAGATGTGCTTTTTGGAATTTTCCTTTTGAATTCATACTAATTTGGAATACATCTTAAAGATCAAAGGATCTATGAGTTAAAGGTTCCCATTTCATTTAAAAGTAAGAGAAGAAAGATTTCTTACTGCACTGATTTATCATACAAATTTATTAAATAAATTAGGATTCTTTTAATAAATTGTGATGATGAATTTATATATATATATATATTAATTTATATTTTTAGGATTCCCATTTACTAAAAATGAAAACAACAATATTAATAATCTTGAACTATCAAATATCAAAATAGTTCTTTAACATTTAGAAGGATGCTTCTGGCTAATCAGTAGGTGTCATGTGTCCAGCATTGTAAACCATACAAAAATGTAGTTACTTATAAGATTTAATAGTGCCTGCTGTCTCTTCTCTGTTAGTTTTTGGATTTATGAATTTCCAAATTGATTTTTTTTATTTTTTCCATATTGGCAAATCCTACCATTTTAATAAATTGACCCAATATTCTACTCCAGTATGAGATACTACAGTATCCAATTAACCATGATAAACAAAAACTTTAATTTCTTATGAAAGTAAATAATCAATTGAAGGAAGAACTGAAACAGTTTAATCTTCTGCAAAAGCATAATAAATATCTTGATTGCATCCATAAAAGGTAATATTCAATGGAAGATCAAATTATAATTTATGATCATTTATAAATTCTTCATATTAATCTCCATCATCATAGTTATATATTTGAATATTATATCTAAAATTAGGTCCAACAGCATCATTAAAAAATATTTCCTCATCACTTACAGTTAAGAATTTCTCATATTCTTAATTATCTATATCATCTAATGATTCAATTCCAGATTTCATCATTAAATCATATCTATATTGATCAATGACTCCATAATTTATTAATTATCTAACTGTTGGTATTACTTATACTCTTGGATGAGACCATGCTCCTCCAATTCCTATTCCAATTAAATTAAAATTAGTTTATTTTTTTATTTTTTCTGCTAATACAGGTATATAATGTCCACCATAACTTTCTCCCCAAATATGTAATCTTGCTTTAGCTAATTCTTTATTTTATTCAAAATATTAAGTCAATAATTCAATTACATAATCTGCTGCATCCCAACTGTTATCTATTAATCCCTCTTTACTCGAATAACTCATTCCTGTATAAAATGGTTAATCAATGTACATTAAATGTGCCTACTTATTCCAAGATGTTTCCTTATTTCTATTAAACAATTAATACTCTTGCATGCAACTTTTAATTGTCATCTACACTGATAGGTCCATTTTCATTAAAATTACTATCCTATGATGAACAACCTGGACCACCATAGATCCAAAGGATAAATTCATCGTCTGCTTTGATATCTGTCTTTTTCATTACGGTCTCTTTTAAGTAAAGCGAATAAAATAATCTATTTTCTGATATTGTTAAATCGCCAACACTTACATAACCTGTTTCGATATAATAATTAACTGAAGGTAGAAGATTTTTATAGAAATCTAATTTTATTCAGAAAATACTTGTTTAATCTTTAGAATAAATCAAACCTTTGCTTGCGTCAATAAAGGCACCAAATATTAAAATTAATAACATAAATTAATTAGTAGAATAATATCAGTATTAAAAAATTTACATTATAATAGATTATATGATATTGTAGAATTACTATAATCTTGTATATGAAAAAACAATAAGTTAATTATAATGTTTAATTATATCTAAAAGCAAATGCAATTTCAGAAAAGAATAATTCTAATATCTATTCATATTACATAAGAAAATCATATAGTAAAGATATTGTTATAAGTCAAAATCTACAATTTATACAAATTAACTATTTTATTTTGTAAATTATCAAATTGAATATATTAATAATTAAGAGGTCTTTTAACAATAAAACTGAATAAATTTCAATTACTCTGGATTATTTTAACAAAATGGAGTATTACGCAAAAATAAATTTAATTAGACATAAATATTTCGAAAGATTTAAGAATTTATTTTCAGAATAATTTATATATCATTTGGATTTATTAATAACAAATGAACATATAAATTGAAATGAAAAAATAATGAAAAATTTAGATTTTCAAATTCTTCTAAACATTATTTTATGGAATAAAATTTTAAAGTATAAAATAATTACACTCATAACTATGAATTGATTATATACTAAACTGATATTTAAGTTAAGAAGATTGTATTATGAATTAATAATAACAAATAAAATATCAAATTTCATATTTATATAATTACTATTTGATTAAATAATTATATATATATTGTAAAATTAAAATTAATAGATGTATAAGAGAATGATAAAGGAATATGAATTTAATCTTAAATTCTGAATGCATAATTAATAAAGAATATAAATAACATAATTAGAGTTAATTTTATAGATCATTCAAATAATTGATTTGAATGGAAGAATACAATCATATAATATTTATTTTTACAATTATCTATTTATTAAAATATGATTCTTCTTAAATTAAGTCTTGAATATTTTCAAAGAGTAATTTCTTCAATAATTTACAAAAAATGTACTAAAAATAGAATTCAATCTATATATAGAAAAAAAGACTGAATTTTTATCAAAATATCAATCAATAAAGTAACAATCTTTAGGGAATAATATAAAAAAGAAATTCATATTCTTTTTTATCATAGTTTGTTTATATTTAATGTATTTGATAAATCTTCATTACTTTTAATTTATATATAATGGTTTCTCAATTAAATAGTTTTAGTTTCGATATTAATCTAAAAGGGATTACTATATCATTGAGAGTACTATAATGAGTTATAATCAACAATTTAAATAGTGATTTATTTATTTTATTGTATTTTTAAGTTTGATTTATTAAAATCAATAAGTTATAATAATTGCTTAATATTTAAATTTATTGGTGTCTCAATATTTAACAATAATATAAAAAAGGGTTTGTATATTTAGAAATATTTGAGATTACATAATTATCAAAGTAAATATTTATTAATAATGTGCTCCAATTTTTAAATATCAGTAGGTTTTGAAATTCGTTCTTTCATTCCACATTAAGTTGCTATTAGAACATCATCGTCTCCAGAATATGCGGAATACATGGTTATTATGCATTCATCATGAAGAGAATTTTATTTTAATTTTTAAGATATCTAAATGGATGATATTTTAAAATACTTCCGAAGATGCTTAAAATCCATTCTTCTATGGCATTTCAATATCCATAAAAATTATTCGATAAGTTTAACAACATTATTATTTTAATCTCTTTTCAACTAATTCTATAGCTGAATCCCCATTGTAAGCACTATCAGTTTTTACTTTAAATTTCTTTAATAAAACTTAAAGTGCAAAGTGATTACAAATTATGTCATCAACAATAAGTATTTTACTGCATTCACAATATTTTTCAAGACGAGACAATTATCTATCCATTTAAAATTCTAATGAACAATTTTCAATTAAGTTTGACAATCCAAAACTTATTCTAGTATATTCATTAAATTTAGAATCTATTTTGAATTTCTATTCTTTATATAAGTATTTTGATAGTATCATAGATATTCTTAATCCTAAACCTAATTTATTTGAATTATATTAAATAGAATCTTAAAACAAGATTTCTGCTTCCTCTTCTATTTTTTCAATTATTTCATCTTTAATACCTTATCCATCATCATAAATAATAAATTTATATTGATCTTTTAATATTTCTATTTAAACCTTAATTGTTCCTCCTTTATCTGTAAATTTAACAGAATTATCTAATAAATTAATAAAAACTCTTAATAATCTCTCTTTATCAGTATACAATCTAATTTAATGATCATCTTCTATTATTAATTGAATTTATTTCTATATACATTCAAAATAAAATAATTCTTACAATTATTAAAAGATCTCTTCTAATTTAAAATATGATTTATTGAGAGTCAAAGCTTTACATTAAATTTAAGCATAATCTAATATATCATTTAATTAATATTATAATCTTTTAGTTGATACAATTGCAGGATTAAGATGGGATTCTAATAAATCTATAGTTAATTCATCTTTTAATGCATATAATTAAGAAAGGACACTATTGATTGGAGTTCTTAATTCATGACATAACGAATTTAAAAGAGCTTATTAAAATTTATATTTATGATTAAGTAATTTATATTCTTCTCTTTTTGTAATGTTTTCTAATACAATTAAATAAACATTTTAATTCCACTTTCCATTTTCTTCAATTTAAAAAATCTTAAGTTTTAAACTTTTATACTTAGATTTACATTATGAAGCATTCATGGAATCTAATCTAATAATAAATTAATAGGTTTCTCTTGAAGTAGATGTTTATTAACTTTAGTGAATTTTCTAGAATTTTTAGAATACTGACTTTAAATTTCCTTCTTATTAACTTTCATTGTCCATCCTTGGTTAGGATCCACAATTATAATATTGAGAAACTACATCTGGTATTTAATCATCAAATTATCTTTTTTATAAACTTATGGATGGTTATTTATAGTATGTCATTTTTTTTGGTGATTTATTCATTGATTTTTTAATTTTTTTAGCAGAACGGACTTCTTAAGTTTCTCCACTTCTGTTATAATTAATTAAATTATATACTTTTAAATGGCTTCATCTAAAAATGGAATAATATTATCAGGATTAGTGATACCTAACAATTATATAACTTTTTGGTTATAGTCTAATATTTTTAATTGTTAATCAACAAAAATTATACCAAAAGGAAGATTACTCATTATTGCAACTAAATCAGAATATTTAGAATCTATATGACTTTCTAATTTTAAAGGATCATGTTAAAATGAATGTGAAGAATTTGTTGTTGTTTTCTATATATTTATAGGTTTTTTTTTAATTATAATTCTTTATTAAATAGTTTCTCTGTTAACAATTATAGATTTATGTTCTTATTATATTTTTGGAGATTCTAAATCATAATTTATCTAATTAACAATTACACTCTCATTTAGATCACATTTCAAATTATCTATCTTACTATCATTAGAAAAACATATAAGTTATTCATTTTATTATATTATTGATTCTTATTTAAATTAGGTTTAAGTTTATTATGTACATTCTAATTTCTATAATGTATAAAACATATAATGATTTAAAGGTTATAAGAAGATCATCAATATCAAATAATGTATTCGATATTATGATTCAGTTATTATTGCTCTTATTATCATATATACTAATACAAGATGTATTATTATCTTTGTTATTATGGTACTATCATAAACCTTAAACAATATAAGTAATATATAGAATAATTATGCAGTATTAGCAATATTAAGAGATTATTAGAACAAAGTTTCATAAGTTATTACACATAATAAATAGAGACCTACCTTAATATAAATTATTGATATTTTGTAATAATCAATCATTATTAGTAATAAGCATATTGAAAGGGATAAGATATTAAGTAGAATATAATACCAATTTGTATTTATCCAAATAAAACTGATTTGAATGATGTCTTAAATTATTAATTAGCATATCAATAATTTAATGAGTATTTCCATTAATAATTATAATATATAATCATAATAAATATTTGTCAAGTAATTGTTTGAGTTATTTTTATTCAATAGGCTTTGGTAATACTTCTTTAATACCACAAGCCTTAGCTTAATTACTATTTTCATTTCCATTATAAGCAGAACACATTACAATAACTGTTTAATCTGTTAAGTTATTTTTATCTAAAATGGCAGTTATCTAAATTATTAAAATATTAATTACTTCTTTTGAAGCTTAATATCCATTTGATATAGGCATTTCAATATCCATGAATATTAATTTATATGTTTTGCAACAATTTTTATCTAATCTTTTCTTAACCATTTAAATAGCTTATTATCCATTATAGGCACTTTCCATTTTAATGTTATGTTAATTTAAGAGAGCTTCAATTGCACTATGATTAAATCTAACATCATCAACATTTAAGATTTATATACAATCACAATTAATATTAAAATTACAACCTTAAAAGGAGGGGAATTTAAGATTATTTAATTATTTATAATTAGATTCTATTCTGAATGAAATTTTAGTAAATTGTCTTTCTTTACTTTCAATTTTAAGTTCTTTATCTATACAAAGATATTTGGCAATTTATTAAGATATTTTCAATCCTAATCCAAGTTTAGTTTCATTTTTATGATATTAATCTTACATATAAAAATCTTTATTATTTTTAATACTTGCTAGAATTTTATCAGAAATACCAACTCCATCATCTAAAACACAAAATAGAATATATTAATTATCCTATTAAACACTTACAGAGATTTTACCTCCTTCATTAGTAAATTTAATAGAATTATCTATCAAATTTATTAAAATTCTTATAATTCGTTCTTTATCACTATATATAATTTAAGTATCATTAATATTTTGAAATTTAAAACTAAGTTGTAAATTTTTTTCATTACATTCTTATTGAAAAAGTTCTTGTATTATATTAAATATTTCAATAAGTTCAAATTGTGAATTAACTAAATGAAAATTCTTACAATCTATTTATGCATAATCCAAAATATCATTTAATTGAAACATTAGCTTTTTGGCAGATATTATGGCAGGTAATAGATTCTTATCTCTAATTTAAGGTGAAATTAAGGATGTCAATGCATTCAATTATGATAATGTACTATTCATCGGTGTTCTTAATTCATGACATAAAGAATTTAGTAAGACTTATTAAAATTTGTATCTTACACTTAATAAGCGCAATTCCTCTTTATTTGTAATGTTCTCAATAACAAATAAATAATTGATTTTATTTTCAATAGTGTCTAATTCATATACTTTGATTCTAAAATGATATTTTTTGGAACCTATATCTTAAACTTTCTTAATAATTTATATATTTTGACCAATAGATTGAAATGAACAATCTCCATTATTGTTTAATGAATAAGATTTCATGGCAAATTATTTAAGCAATTTATCTAGATTACGATATCTTGATTTAATAGTCATAATCTCATCTCTAATCTAATTGTTGTTACTGGAAATAAAGGCAAAATTTCCATTAAGATGAGAATGTGTCCCACCATCTGGATTAATTGAACTCTATTCATGATTACTTTTAGATATAAGAGACAATTATCTTTTGGTTTGAAATCTTCTACTTTAACGATTACTACAATGTGAACTAATTTAATTTACGGATTTACTCTCCCATGATTCAGGACTTATTATGTTAATTGATATACCTCTCTAATAATAAATCTAAATTTAATATTATATTTCTTCCATCATTATCAGATGCTTTTAAGAAATATAATAATTTTTAATTATAGTTCAAGATTTCATACTGATTATTGATAAGTGCAATACCAAAAGGTAATAGATTCCAAATTTAAGGTACATCTAAAGTAGAAGTTTATTTTTAGAATTAAGAAATTGTTTTCTAATCAAAATCACCTATTTAAGAAAATGGATTATTCATATAAAGTTATTTCAATTATTTTAAATTTTGTGATATTCTAGAACTACCTTAAAGATTACTACTACATTATTCTTCTTATTCTGAAGAGTCTTTACATAATTGTGGAGTCAATTCAAATTGACATTTACTCAAATCTATTGATTATTTCTTTAATTGATTTATTACCAATTATTTCTTTTTGTATAACATCCAATGATTTATAGGTTGCCATAATACACATGTAAGTAATTAAGTTATGTTAAACAAGTCTTTGTATTGTAAAAGTGTCCTTAAAAATAAGTAAAATATTATTGAATGTTTTGCAATTTGATGCCATTTCAATTCATCTTCAAATTAGGTAATTAGTATTACAATAAATATTAATAACTGAATTGTATTTATTGATGAAATCTCTTATTACACTAATTCTATATTTAATAAACATAATATTAAGGCACTTACTCTATTAATATAAATATGTTATTTCTTAAGTAATTCCATTCCAAATAATAAAATAGCTATTATCAATGAAAATGAATTGATTATGATGTACTATAATTAGGTTTATTACTTCATTCCCATTTCCACCAGAAAAATTGCATTTTTTATTGAAAATTACAGATATATTGAACTCTTGTAAATTAGCATTTATATAAAAAATATATCACAATCTCCACACTTGACATGTTGAATCTTTTCCTACTGTTATTACCATCCTTCCTTTTTAATCTACTAACAGAGTCATCAATCCATCCTCTTATCCATCTAAAATCTATTGGCAAACTCCATCTATTGTACTATTATTAATTAGTTTAAAGTAATACTATAATCTAGCAGTCTTGTCAGTACTTGCTGTAAGAATCTCATGTTTTTAAGTATAAACAATTTTAACTATCTCATCTGTGTGTCCATAAAATCTCTAATTCATCTTACCAGTAGAAGTCTCATACAAAATTACTGTTGAATCTTATGATCCAGTAAGAATTTTAGTACCCAATTAATCAAAAGTAAATGTTGTTAAATCTTATGTATGTCCAGTTAATGTATGTAAAGGTTTATTAAGATTTTTAAGATCCCATATTTTACATTACTTATTACCACTTATAGTTCCAAGATATCTTCCAGAAGGATCTATAGTCATTTAGAATATCTCTTTAGTATCATCTTATAATTTAATAATTTGCTTAAATGTTTTGGTATCATTTACCTATTATTATTGTTGTATCATACTGATATTTATCCATCAAATGATGCAGTGTATACATTAGAATCATGAAATTTAACACCAACTATAGAGATTTTGTGATCTTTTATTGTATGTAAAATTTTTAATTTTTCTATATCATAAATATTACATGTTGAATCCATTGAACCAGATGCCAATTTAGTATTATGACCAAATGATAAACACATAACTTCAGCATCATGTCCTTTGAGTGTTTCAACACATATTCCTGATTTTGGTCTCCATAATTTGATAGTATGATCAAATGAACCTGTAGCCATTAGATCACTATAATAATTAAAATTTAATACTCTCTATTCTAATCAATTTCTATACATTAAATTACATTACTATGTCCCTACATTTCGTTTAATTTTGCTCCACTTTCTATATTGAATATTTTGCATGTTTAATCATAACCTGCAGTAATGATTCTAAATTGTAATTATCAAATTTAATACTAAGTTTCAAATTTATTTAGAATACAACAAGATAAAGGAAGAGGATGAGTAATGAAAGTATTCTCTAATTGAAATTTTGGTCTTTAATTCATTTATCTCTTAATTATGAATTTATAATAAAAATAATTAAAGATTTCTATAAAAAACTAAAATTATTTTTAATTTCTTTATATTACAATTACATCTATATAATTAAATATATCTTATAAATATATATAAAGATTGATTCAATTATAATTAATTTAATTATAGAAGAAATTAAAAAATAATCAATATTTAAATCTAACCTATTTATTAAAAATCAGGAGTATAAATACTAATGATTCTATTAAATTAACTTACATTAAATTGGCTATATCATTCTTATGTGAATCTTGCTTAAAAATAATAAGAATTTAAAGAAATTACAAATTTATACAATAAATATATAGACTATTAGCTATAGGTGGAATATCAATAATTTTTGTTCAATCATATCAGAAAAAGATTATTCTGAAAATTCTAAGATAACCAAATCTATACTTTCCTCTATTAAAATTTAGTTATAATCAAACATCCTATGAAGAACTCAAATAAATTTAAGATTAAACTATAGCAATAAGATACAAAGATATTATACTAATAAATTTGAGGAAAACTATACTCAACTAAGATGATAAAATTTAATTTATTAGGGATAGAATTTGAATGATTCTGCATTTATTATAAAATATAAAAGTAAGATGATTAATGAGGAAATGATATAAAGTCAATTTAAAATTTAAGTCAAAAAATATGAAAAGTTTATTAAGGTAGATTCTAAGATACTTAAAAGAAAAGATTCAAATCCTAAAAAGTTAGAATTAATAACTAAATATGGAGATTTAACCTAATTAGGATTTACAAAACAAAATAAATTGGATATCAATAAATCAAAATCCACCATAAAAAAATCAAACTTTAAATATAAGTATTGAACTTTTAGAATAAGGATAAATGTGATCATATTTTAATATTTTTATTTCTTAAAAATATCACACTTTGATATGTGTTGCTACTGCATTATCTAACTTTTCAAAGAATTCTTATGAATCATATAACAAATGTTCTTCATTTATTTCATATTCAAGATAAACACCCTAATAAATTATTAAACTAATCTATACATTCTTTTGATAGTAATTAACAACTTCAGCATTTACTTAATCAGTTGGAGCTGAACTTGATTCTAAAGCACATTTACTAGGTTATTAACACTATAAATATATGGTTAATTTATTACATTATTTTAATATCCTGGATGTGTAGGTGTTATAAATGGTAAACTAGTATTGAAGATCTTACCACATGATTAACATGATAGAAAAGATCCTGCTATTTTCTAAGCTAATGAGTCTGATAACTTGAATCTAACAGCTAAATTGATTCCATCCAATAATCTATCAAGACTATAATATTTTAATCTTTTTTTAAGTACTTTTCTGCTTCAACTGCTGTATTTGGGAATCCAAATAATAAAGCACCATTAGTTTATGTAGATTATAATTATACTTATTCTGCTAATCTAGCTACACCATCCTATTGATAAATAACAATATTACTCCTCCATTTGTTTTTTAAGCATCAATTATTGAATATTAAAGGAATTATCTATATTTCATATATAATATTACTTTTCAACAAGATTTCTGATAAATTAGTTTGATTACAAAAATACAATTTTTGGATATTAGGGCATTTTAGCTGTATATTTGAATTGATCATAAATCACTGATTAAGTGAAGAATAAGTGTAATTATTAAGCTCTTTATATGGCTAATCTTGAATTTCCAAAGAATTATTGATTCATTATGAATACTAATAATAATTATTATCTTTATATCAAATTTTAAGTTATATAAAAAATAAAATATATTTAAAATAGTTTTGATTTCTAATACAAAACCAATCTATTTTATTACTTTATATATTTCTATTTCAAAAATTATCATAATAAAATTGAATCTAAAAAAGAATAAACATTTTATTTAATTACACTTTATAAAATATATTTATTTAATTTGTCTATTATTTTATTTAATTTGTTCAATCACAATCAATAATAATAATAATAATTAAGATTAAATTCATATTAATAATCAAATCAAAAATCTAAATATTATTTTAACAATTAATAAGCTGATCCAGGTTAATCAAGTTAAGTTAAATGACCAGCTTAATATACAATTGCAAATGCAAAATTTTTATATTATTTAATTGTCCCACCTATCATTAATTCTTAAGTAGATTTATCCTTATAATAAAATTAATTTTTCTTCTCTTTCTTCCATAATTATACTATTTCATTTCTAATATTATTTATCATAATTTATACTCCAGCTGGACTTATATTATAATCGAATTATCCATTATATAGCATCACTTTACCTTTATGTAATAATAATTCAATATCACTTAAATAACTCATATATGTATCAGCATAAAAAGCTTATAATATTGTAAAATTAGATGGATTAAAAGCAATGTTTGAAGGAATACCATATTATTACTTATTTCCAATTAAAAATTAAATATAAGAATTGTCATTTGGATCATTTGTATGTTTATAAACATTATCAGGATCAAAATATTCTAAGAAATCTAAATCAAAAGTTATATCAATTGTGCTAGTAGCAGCTTCATAATATTTCTCTTCCATCATTAAATTTTATTAAATTGCTTCTATTTTTCTAATAAAATCAAATCGATATTAATCAATAAGACCATATGAAATCAATGTTGTTGCTTAATTTCGATATTGTGATAATGCTTCAGTCCAAGAACCTCCAATAAATACTCCTCTATAATTCAAATCTAAATTAGAATTAACTATTTTTTTGGCAATTCTTGGAACAAAATGTCCTGCATAACTGATTCCAACCACATGAAAATTAATCATTTAAAACATTTTGTGAGAATCCAAAAATATTTCCATAAATTATAAAATATAATTAGCTGCTTCTTCTGTATTATTTACTACATCTTTCTTTGTAGAATAACTGAATCCTGATCCAAATGGCATATCAATATACAAAACATGAGAGAATTCATTAATTAAATAATCCTGTAAAATTAATAAAAAGTAATCTTACCCATAAAATTAATTTTCCTTCTTTAACTTTAAAAGGTCCTGTATATTTAAATGCATATTTCATAGCTGCAGAACCAGGACCTCCAGGAATCCATAATAAAAAGTTATCATCTTTTTTTATATGTTCTAAAGACTCTATTCCTTATTTTAAAAATAAATGATAAAATAATTTATTTTCTGATTTAGTAACATCATCAACATTAATGTAACCAGTCTCACAATAAAAGTTGACGTTTTCATTTAATCGCTTATAAAATTCTTTAAGTTATAATAATGGTTACATGTTTGATCTCTTGATTCTATTTTTTAACAATTAAACGATAATAAAAATATGATTATAAGATAAATCATATATTATCTGTAATTTTTAAAATAATTTAAATAATGAATTATAAATAGTAAATTTTTTAATATTTATGTAATAAATTATAATCTGATAAAGATGAAAACAATTTTTACTACATTTTTATTTAATAATATGATCATCCAATTTTAATTAAAATTAAACTAACTAAAAGTTAGAATATTAAATTTATTATTAAGTATACATCAAAAATGAAGAAATAATCTTCAAATTATTTCATAAGTAGATGTTTGAGAGCAAAATTAGGAAAATTTAAAATGAGAACTCAGATTTTAATTATTAATGGTATAATTTTGTCTCTTTTAATTCCTACCCTCTTAATATTACACACTGTTAATATTCAATATGTAGAACAAATTCTTTAACATTCTTTAAAGAGAAATACAATTTAAGAAATATCCAAACATCTAAATATTACTTCACATCTGTTGAATTATTAACTTAATTTAGTCTTTGAAAAAAGTATACTCTTATCTTAATTTTTAGCTGAGATTACATTGACAAACCTTAATTAACTTTATTGGATATAATTAAAAAGTGATATCATAGCAACTTCTTAACAACCTAGAATGTGTGATTATTATCAACTGAATATGCCTTAAGAACATTATTATTCCATATTATGTTTTTCAAGATTTGGATAGGAATAGAGTAGTTAAACTTATAGCAATATTAACCAATCATTATAAAGTATCACTAATTTAGTGAACTCATTTATTTTAAGTTTAATGAGGTTGAATGATGAGTATTTACCAAATTAAATGTATTTTGTCTCTTCTATTAATTCAAACTAATATGGTTTTTTATATCCTTAATTCACTATTTATCCTAATTTTAATCCAAAAGAAAGGGAATGGTATAAATCACATTTTAAAAATTTAGAAAAAGACAAAAACAATCATACTTAATTAACTAATATCTATAGATATTTTGATACTTAACCAATATATTCAATGACTATGACTCAATCAATGTTAAATTTGAATAAAGAAGTAGAAGGTTTATTCTGTTCAGATCTCGTTTTTAAGAATAACCTAATACCACAATTAAATATCAATATAATGATAGTAAATACAGAAGGAACTTTAATTTTGTCTAATTATAAAAATGATATTATTTCAAATTCATCAGCTTTGATAAAGTTTGATAATGAACAAATCACTGGATTTAAAACTCAAGATTGGAATTCTATACTAAATTATTATTATTATAAATAGTTAAATTCAACTTGTAATTATGAAAATCTTGAAATCTTGTGTAGATACAATAGCATTTACAATAAAGATGTTGTAATTTAAATCATCAAATTATAGAATATTGATTATTTCCTTATCCTTTTTTATGATATTTAGATTGAATAAGAAATTGATGATAATATCAATCTTCTTCTTAAAATAGTAAAAAAGAATTTGAATTAAATAATATTTGTGACAGTATTAGGCTCATTTGGACTGATTTTATTGTAAGTAATTTTAATTTATATCATATTTTTACCAATGTACTAAACCATTAGATAATCTTATTTCTTTTTAAAAAAATCAGAAAAATCAAAGTAATTTGAACAATAAAGTTTATTATAAAAAATAAATCATTTTCAGGAAATAATTATTAAATAAAGTATTACTAATAAAAATTCCCAAGATAATAGTATAAATTAGTAATTATAATTATAGATAACGCACTGATGTAATTTAAATTTTAATTCAACACACTATTTGACAGACTTCTTGCATAAAGAATGACAATTAATCCTTAATGCCAAATACTTCAGTAATTTAAATATCCTCGAAAAGGTATTCATAATTCTTTGGACATTCTAAAAATTTTAAAGGAAGGCAAAATATATGATAATTATCATGATTAATAGATAAACAGTCCAAAAAATTATCATTTAAGAAATCCATTTAGTTTTAGAGTTGAATAAAGCTGAATCAAATTTCTTTAATAAAAAATTTTAATTTAGTATTTTTATTTGTAATTACTTTTACATTGAATTAAAAAGGTTTTTAAAGAAATAACTACATTCTAATAATCTTTATAGAATAAAATATAATTGAATAAAATGTGTTCTGAAGTATAATTTCTCATCTTTATTAATTTTAAATATATTTATGCTATATGAATTATAATTTAGATTCAAACAAAAATGTTTTTAGATAGATACTACTTAAATTTTATGAATACATAATTGTTATTAATTATATTATATTATATTATATTAAATTTAAGGATAATATAGGAAATATTCTAATTAATTTATGATTATTGTATAATGATTTATCTAAAAAAATGAAAAATTAATTTATTGTCTTAGATTATATGTATCTTTTATTTACATAAATTAATGAAATAAAAAAAATCATTCAATTTTTCTTTTTTAATATTATTGATTCAAATACTATTTTATTTAATAATAATAATATTGTTAACAAATAAGACTTAATAAATCTATAATTAAAAAAATAATTTACAATCAATTAATCTATAAAACTTAAACAAAAATTAAAAAAGAAAAAAATACAAAATATATTGATCATTTTCCAAAGAAACAGCATCGTGAAGCCTTAGGACCATTGAAATAACATGGGTTAGATCTAAATAGCACAGTATTTTTATTTTTAATTCCATCAATCATCAAAAATTCATAATCTGGAACTCTACCTGTTTTTGTACATTACATAGATGTTAAAGAATCACCATAATTTTATAACTATTTCTATTCCTGATTTATACTCTTTTATAATCCTTTAACATATCACATGGCAAAATGGGTTTCAGCATATTTAATACTACAAAAACTGGTACAAAATTAAAATCGACTAAAGAGATTTCAGTTCCATTTATATATTATTTATCTTTTAACCATTCATCCATTTATTTAAAATGTTTTATTAACCATTACTTGAGATTTATAAATTTCTATTGCTTTTAAATAAGAACTTACTTCTTGTTCTAAACAAAAGACAAATGAATAGAGATTTTTAATTATCTCATTTGAATACTCAAACTTAGCTCTGTCTATTGCTTTTTAAATAGGGTCATCTGGCATTAATTTAGGTGGTGTAATTTCATCAATATATTCCATTATTGCTGCTGACTCAAATAAAACAACTAAAAAATAAAAATAAAGTAATACCTTCTTCACCAATGATTAATATAGGTACTCTTTCAAGAGGACTTAACTTAAGAAACCAATCAGGTTTATTATGCATTTCTATAAATTTGATTTCAAATTTAACATTTTTATGACACATTATTGTAAGCACTTTCATGCAATAAGGACATATTTTAAATGCCACAAGTGTATGTTTGAATCTTCTATCCATCGCAAATTTAATCGATTAATTTTGTTATTC